TCCTCTTGGTCTACCATATCAGGAATTTTGTTATGAGTTGATTGTTTTAATTTGACGGTTTACAGTTGGTTCAAGTTAGAATTTGGCAAACCTAAAAACTGATAAAAACTATGCTGAAACAAACACTTGAAACTATATTGTTTTGGCTGACTTGGTTCAGTTTGGCTAAGGTCCGGGTACCAGTAAACCTGGACATGAGTTCGGGTCTGAGTAGAGTAATAAATTATTAAAGCTGCATAGTTGATTTTGTGGAATAGTTAATGCATGGATTTGTATCCCAATTCACACAGTCAGGTGCAGGGTGGGATCTTGGCTTGGTCCTGATCAGATTGGCTCCAGGTGTTACTTGATTTTTTACTAGAACAATTTGATTAACCAATTGAAGGTTTTCCATACTGTAGTAACATAGTTGATTGTATTCGCGTTTCTTATTTCTCTTAAAATCTTATGTAATATATGAGGAACTCACCTTTTCATCAGGAAAAATGAACAAGAAAAATACCGCCCTCTTTTTTTAAATGTGAACTTGAAAAACTGCACCAATTGAACCTACTATTTCAAATAAAAATGACGAAAAAGGAACAAAAAACTTGGTTGCAATAGTTTCACTGGGAAGGTTATAGTGCAAACAGTTCATGTAAATTCAGCTGAATGCTGCACATTTACATGATACATAATTTTTTTTGTAGCAAGATGAATTGAAGATATTTATCAATTAAGGCTAGTTTACTTGAAAAGGCATTTTCACGGGTATAGGTTGACTCTGAGTCTGGTTTGTCTCTTATAACATACCTGCAACAGTCCCATAAATAAACAAAGCTGAGCATATTAATGAGAACCTGACGTGAACTGGGTTTCAAAATGGTCATGAATGTTCATCTCCTATATATCTGTCTACAAGAAAGTACAGTGTGGATCTAGGTATGAACATTCATCTGCCCTCCTGACTGTTAAACAAGTGGTTATGCCCTTGTTTCTTTTTCCCTCAGTTGGATGGGGTTCATGTGAATGCCTACATCCATCATTGCACACAAATGCACATGATTTTAGCCTCCTTGATTAACAGTCAAAACAATTAGAAAATTCCCATCCTGTCTACTAGGTCCTAGGGGTCCCAGGTGATATACCTTGTGATTAGGAATTTGCATGTACCTATATGTCTTGTTTAGTATGTCTCTTCATTGGAGCAATCTTTTTGCTAGAGGCCTTTCATTGGTCCAAATGTTCACTGGAGGGGATCATTAACGTTATTCGATTTTGTCTAGGATTAAGAAATTGACACTTCCAAATGTTGCAAAATTTTTGGATTCTTGTGACATTTTGTACTGTTTTTCTTTTCTTTTGAACACTTCATACACAAACCCCATAATCTGGGATATTATTATCACAGAAGATTATGTACACAGTGAAAAATATATGAAAACTATATTTGTACATATATCTCAGATTTACTTCAATAGCATAATATTCAACTTTGTTGAATGGTAAAAAACTAGTATGTTATTTACTGCATTTCAAAAATATTCTATCCTATGTTTTTAATATTCACACTTTTGTTTTACATAGCATGTTGTGCGTATACGTGGGTTGTGACTATGTACAGCTAACTCAAAGCGATTCCGATGTTAAATCATTGAAGGCTAATCTCTGGGATCAGTGAGAGTTCGGGACCAACAAACTTCAGCATCAAAGCTTACGTGTGCGCCTGCTAGAGAAGAAGCTCTTAGGGAATCGATCTAGACTAGATGAGATGCCGGTGCCATTAAACTAGCTGCCAGAACGAGTTCAAGAGATGAGGATCCAGGTAGTGAAGTCACCTTCCCTTTTGTCCAATCCCTCAGTTTCTGGTCTTTTTGTCCATCCTAGATGTTCATCCCCGTCTACTAAAGGGAGGGGCCGATGCCTATACTGCTTTGGTAAAAAAAAGCATCTATTTACCTGTCTTGACAGTTGCCTGCCGCAAACCCCGAATTTGAAAAGTTCCTTTCAATTAGGATTTTGAAGTGAACCATGACTTCTGTGTACCACTAGTGCCACAAAGGCTTTTGGTGGTCTTATTGGCACATACCACGGTGGGGTCTGCGACTGGGGTGAAGTCGTAACAAGGTAGCCGTAGGGGAACTAGGGCAGGGCTATGAGAGAGAAGGGGCATTCTCGGTCAAAGCATTGATTCTAAGCCTTTCTTCTATGGGGGGCTAGGTCAGAGCTAGCATTGAATAAGAATAAGCTCGGATTCCTCTTAGCCCCCGCCCCGAAATTGACCCACGGCACAACGCCCATTCGCTTCGCACGCGAGAAGGCAACGAAGTTCAGTTCAAGAGACCACAGCGGAGTGGAGTAGCCGCGACACGAAGTTCCTTACCTTAGCTGGAGCTGGATCTCGCTGGTGCCACCTAAACGGTAGGTAGGCGGCGGATGTGTGACGTTAACAAGGCGATGGAATCCCTATAGCTATGCAGCCTAAGCCCGATTCCATCGCCTAGCCCTGCCCTGTAAGCCCACACCTGTGTAGAGTAGATCGTTCAACACCTGCGGCACAAACCCTCCTATTAAAATAGGGGACTATTACAGGATGCTTTGCATACAGACTAGTTGCATCCCTTAGATGGCTGCCTTCTACTTACAGAAGGACTCACTGACGGAAAGGATTCAAACTCAGATGTCGGACTATGATTGGGCCCTGCAGTGGTAGAACCTGGTGAACCGGGCCTACTACTAAACATTGATTCTCTCTCCTAAGCACTCTCTTCTATCTATATTATTAGAACACCAACCCAGCGAAAAAGAAGGCCCGCTTGACGCGGGCTCAGGTCTCCGACAAAATCATATTCCCTCCCTGTCTCGATCACAACGGGCCGTTCCGGCTCTTCCTGGTTGGCTTCTGACTGTGACGTCCCGACGTTTTTGTGCAATAAACCCCTCCGGCCAAAGACTAGTGATAGGTGGTCCCGCGGAGCTTTCGGAGAAGGGTAGCCTAGTGTGTAAGCACATCAATGAACCGCAAGAACGAGATTTCGCATATCATAAAGAAAGAGCTGATTCCGAAGTGTATCCAGGAAGATGAGCTACAGTCAACCAGGCCGACGCAAGGTGGTTGTCGCTCAAGAAACTGTGGAAGCAGACTCCGTGAAAAAGTCGTGTGCAGCAAAGAAAGTAGGAAGATTGTGTTTGAACGCTTTCACTAAGTGTAACGTTCACTCGTTCACTTTTCGACTGTTGGTAGAGCGCCATTCACCCTAGCCCTTATTGTTGTAAGCGCCCTTCTGTCGCCATAGTGATCCGGGAGTCCCATGTGGAAGGGCTCTCGCTCAACGGATCAAAGGTACGTCGGGGATAACAGGCTGATGACTCCTAAGAGCTCTTATCGACGGAGTCGCCCGGACTCGTAACAGACGATTAGGAACAAGAAAAGGATAAGTAGTCTCTGCCGTTGTAGGTCCTTCTCCTTCCGCTGAGGCGGCCCTCAACTTCCTGTTTGCTGCTTGATTTGCTGGATCCGTTGATGGGATTTCCATTGATATAAAAATGTTCCTAACTATCGGGACGAAGAAGAGGTCACCAACCTCGAATGAACAGGGATTCACTCTTTTTTCATATGTCCTGACCATAAGAGCGAAAAAGCGATCCACGACGACAAAGATTGAATCATAACCTCCTCTTGTCTATTAGCTGTCCAAAGGTAGGTTAAAAGGTCTATGCCCAAAATCATTCATTCAAAAAGGTACTTTTTTTCGACTTGGAATTTCATAGGTGTCTCTTAGAGTAGATTCGTGGCCATACGTTCCTTGCAACCTTCAACTCTCCTTTCAAGGTTCATTGATATTGAACCAATTGAACGCACTTCTAAGATTTGTTCCATTTTTGGCAGACCTTGCGTTATGTTACTAGATTAGGATTTTTCATATATAAATGTAATTAATGTAGTTCCTTTAGAAAGGGTTTGCCCATAATGTCCATGAACAGTCGCTCCTTGATTGGCCAAATAGGGCTTAGCTGATCTTATAATTAAGGAGTACAAGTTGTAAGATTCAGAAGTGAAGAGAAAGTTCATAAGCAAGATGATAGTGGATGTGCAACGATGTTCAAGTGGTTAAGTAGCTCGGTGAAATGTTTGTTATAGGCAATTAACCTAGTCAGTGCTAGATTCTGTTGCTTGGTGGTTGTTATGGTAAAAATCGCCACTGAAGTCTGTGTCATAGGTAAAGAGGTGGAGGTTAGACTACAGGAAGTGCCATGATCTTTTGTGGGTATGGCCTCTTGTAAATAGAAAGTAAAAACATCTATTATTTTATGAGAAACATATTATGTTGGTTCAATGTGGGTTGTGGCCCACAGGTATGGCCTTTGTTAAATATAAAGTAACATTTATTATTTAATGAATTATGTTGGTTCGATGTGGGTTTTGGGTCAAGTGCACATATGGTTTTTGTTAAAAGGAAAGTAAAAACATTTATTATTTTCTGAGGATATATTGTATTGATTCAATGTGGGTTCTGTATTTCCTTTCAGGATGTGATTCCCTTTGAAATTAATTTAGCCAAACCTGAATGAATCTTTTGACCAATGTCTGTTGGATTTTATTTCTCATGATATACCATGTATCAGGAATCTAAGAAACAGTTACCATAGTTGTGGAGAAAGGATATGCTGGAGCTAACTTGCTACTTATATCCCAATTGTTAGTTTGGCAAATCAGAGTCTTATGAAGAAACTTATCTGAGCGTTCTTTCTGCTCTATCTTAAGAATATTTTTAAAGAATAATTTCAAACTTTCACTGTTAGCATTACATGCGTACCACTCTAGCACCAATGAATTATTAGGTAAGACACAATATTTATTTTTACCTAACGCTTATGTGACAATTACCTTTTTAACAAATTGATGTTGGTTACAGATATAATGATGCTTGGAAAGTCTACGAGGCCCTGGAAACTAATAACATCATACCAGATCATGTAACTTGTTCTATTTTGATAACCATCATGAGAAAGAGTGGTAAGCATGCCAAAGACGCATGGCAATTCTTTGAACGTATGAACAGAAAAGGCGTGAAATGGAGTTTAGAAGTCTTTGGCACACTTATAAAGTCCTTTTGTGACGAGGGACTAAAGAAGGAAGCCCTGATTATTCAATCGGAAATGGAGAAGAAAGGAATTTCGTCAAATGCCATTATATATAACACTTTGATGAATGCTTACAGTAAATCCAACCAGATTGAAGAAGCAGAAGGCCTCTTTGATGAAATGAAGGAAAAAGGAGTAAAACCAACCATGGCAACATATAACATTTTGATGGATGCATACAGTAGAAGAATGCAACCTGAGATTATCGAAGATCTATTATTAGAAATGCAAGGAGTAGGCTTGAAACCGAATGTCAAATCATACACTTGCCTCATAAGTGCTTATGCTAGGCAAAGGAAAATGAGTGACATGGCTGCAGACTCATTCTTGAGAATGAAGAAGGCTGGAATAAAACCGACATCTCATTCTTATACTGCTCTTATTCATGCTTACTCACTTGGTGGATGGCACGAAAAGGCATTTGCTACATTTGAGAGTATGAAAAGGGAAGGTATAAAACCCTCAATTGAGACCTACACAACTCTACTTGATGCATTTAGGCGAGCTGGTGAGACTCATACTTTGATGGAGATATGGAAGTCAATGGTCAATGATAAAGTTGAAGGGACCCGAGTTACTTTTAATATAGTCCTGGATGGATTAGCAAAACATGGTCTTTATGTTCAAGCAAGAGATGTGATGTCGGAATTTGGGAGGTTCGGGTTTCAGCCAACTGTGATGACTTATAATATGTTGATGAATGCATACGCAAGGGGAGGGCAACATTATAAATTACCTCAGCTGTTGAAAGAGATGGCTGCTCTTAATTTGAAGCCTGATTCAGTTACATACTCCACAATGATATATGCATATGTCCGGGTTCGTGATTTTACGAGGGCCTTTTATTATCACAAGCAAATGGTGAAGAGTGGACAGGTGCCTGATGCGAAGTCGTACCAAAAGTTGCGAAGTATTTTGAATGAGAAAGCTGAGATGAAGAATAGAAGGGATAGGAGTGCTATACTTGGAATAGTTAATAGTAAAATGGGTATAAAACCAAAGAGTGGGAAGAAAGATGAGTTCTGGAAGAGCAAGAAAAGGCAATCGAGGTTGCAAAACAGGTTTATTACATGATGCCTTGTAGTGAACTGTGTTCTCACAGAAGTTTCTCATGTCTATTCTGATTATGATCCTACTTTCCATTTCAGGTAGACAGAGATGGTATGGATCTCAAAGAGCTCATTTACAGAAAGGAAAATGCAACTGACATATTTTTTGAGTTAAAGAGGTTAAAAATGTCTCTGCTCAAGGGTCAGGCAAAACTCAGGTAATTTACAATTTTCATATTAGAGTCATCGTAGGATTGCATTTCACTATGTATACATTAAAATAACATAGTTAGGCTCGACACTAGTAGAAATGTGAGTGTCCTAGACGGAAAAATCTATCTAGTATGCTCAAACAATCGTTTAGGATGAACATTCTAGACGAAATTTCATCTAGGATATTCTATCTAGAAGATTTTTGTCGAGGATGAAGCATCCTAGACGGAAACTCCGCTTAGGATGATCATCCTAAGCGGAATCGCATCGTAGATGGATTACCTGTCTAGGTTGCCCAAAAACATCCTAGACGAAATGTCGTCCATGATACGCATACTAGACGGAATTCCCTCTAGAGTGCTATAACGCATCATAAATGGAACGCCATCTAGGATGCATGTCTCAGACGAAATATCCATATTTAGATATGTACAAAGAAAGTTATGTTCTTTTTACTACGAGAGTATCATGCTCAAATTTCTGTATGAATAGTTATGTTACATAAATTGACATACAACCCATGTTTACACTAATACAAAGCAAGATAACCAATACTTGATCACATTAGGCTTGAAAACCAGTAAATGTCATATTTTCTATGCTCATAGATATAAATATTATATTTTTATAACTACTCATTGACATGCAAGGGCCAATCATTGCTTCAATGTAACATGCAATGGTAAATCCTCACATGTAAGACCAAAAACCAAATTAAATCCTTTGTTTCAATCTTATATCCCTAATAACAACATGAAGAAGAGAATTATAAGAAATTATACCTAGATTTGAGACTTTGCTCAAATTCAAATTCCTCCTCCAAAATCCTCAAACTATCTTCTTTCTCCTCTCCTTCTTGTTCAATCTCTAGAGTTTGAGAGATGAGGCTATTAAATTTATTATTATTCCTTTTTTTAAACATGATGAGATGTGCCTAGGGTTTGGTCGGTCAGAGGAGAGGGGAGGGAATGAGGTTTTGATTTTTTTTTTGAAAATGACAAAATAAGAAGTGGAGTGTACTAGTATATAAAGCCCATGTGAAGAGGAATTTTCAAATTTAGCCTAGGTTAAGGGTTTTTATGCAAAATTTACCCACTAACATGGCTGATCAAATTAAACAATTATGTTAATTAGAGAGTTTAGAAAATAGGTATTTAACAATTGGGTTATCTCTAATCAAAGTTTAAATCATGGTTGGTTTATGTTTACATGCTAAATTTGTATGCATGCTATGACTTAGTTAACTAGATCATAATATGAGAATTAGCTGAGTTAAAATCCTCATACTAGAAGATTATATGTAGTACAAGGAAGGAAAGAAGTTACAAGGAAGGAAAAAAGTTAACTAGAAGATTATATATATATAGCAAAGCTCCTATAAACTTAAATGGTTAGGAACACTTGTCCGCCAAACTTTTTATCCCTTCATTATTCTTTGAAATTTATGCTATACATCAATGCTATCTTTGAGATTTGTGCATTCATTTGTATCACATGCTAGCACAAATCTAAATGCAAAATCAATGGACAAAAAAGTTGGTGAACAAAGGGTTTCTATCCACTTAAGTTTATAGTAGCCTTACTCATATATATATGTTATAGTCTGCAAATAACTTAAGTGTTAACCTCCCTTGGGAAACTGACACGTGTCCCGCACCACGCCTAATTTGACTTGTGTACAATTCGGATGACTCAAGCTGCCTATACGATCGACTCTCTTGGTCGAGAACCTGCATAGCAAAGTAAAAAGGCGGTACTTCTCGTCCAACCTAACCAATCGCCTCTGCGAATAACCCACACGGCCTACTGTTTCAACCGGCAACTCGGGCAACCGAGTAAAAAGGTTGTGTTAGTCGGCCTTCCACCAGACAACTGAAGAGACGGTAGTTTCCTCGACCGCACTGACATCCGTCTACCCTTTCATTTGCTCCTCTGACAAAGTCATCATTGATCTAGTCTCTATGGCCTTTACGACTCATCAGACCTAGTCAGTACCAAGCAGCTGCTATCTTATTGTACTAATCACCTAGATTACCTATCTTCGCAAGCGACAGACACTTGTCAGCTGTCTGCTTAGTCAGTTGCCTGTCCGGACTCGGCTCAAGTTACCTATCTATCCTTCTGATCATTTATAAAAGGAAGTCATCCAACTCAAGGTAGCTCTCTGGTCTTTTTCACATAACTTTGAAACTTTCTACATCATCTCACGTTTTCCCATTCAAATTCATATACTGACTTGATCGTTGGACGAACAATTGGAGAATCCAATTCCAACCTCTTACGAGTTCTTCGTGTGTAAGGAAGAACAACTATTTATAGAGCCAGCCATCTGAAGGAGTTTGAGGACCCTAATTCTACTTTAATCCACAAATAAACCCTCTGTCGTTGTCAGAGGTATCTGTTCTGCTTAGTTTTAGTTTTTTTGTCTCTTTATTGTCGGCTGACATCTGGCTTTGGCTAGTCACGCAGGTTGACCTATATTCTAATTCTGCTTTTTTTGTTTTATCATGTTAATAAAAGGAAGTCATCCTTCAACTTCAAGGTTTACTCTCTTGTGCTTTTTTTCCAGCATTAAGCGTTTTTGATATCTTTCCTACTAGTAATTCTGCAGCCGTTTGTTCTCTCGCGTCAATTCAGGATTATTTCATATACTTAGCTAGGGAGGTTGACTTGATCGTTTGGGACTGGCGAACAATTGGAGAAATCCAATTCCAGGAACCCTCTTTTTTACTTGAGTTCTGCTTCGTGGATTGTGTAAGAAGAAGCAACTATTTATTATGAGCCATTGCCTCTGAAAGGATGTTTTGAGGACCGTGCTTCTGGGTGAGTTTTCTAATTTTGCTCTATGCTTTAATCCACAGTTCAAATAATCCGCTCTCTGTTAGATAACTGAGCATCACTAATATATATATATATATAAATATATATATATATATAAGTATACGTGATATATCTATATAGTATTCATATATTTATATATTATACTTATATTACTGAGAGAGCGAGAAGAGAGAGAGAGGTAGAGAGAGATAGAGAGGAGGGAGGAATGGGTTATGCTTGGTACCAAGGCACCGAAAATTGTTGCTTGGTAGTGACGGTGAATATTATCTTTCACTGCATCAAATGGAGGGCCCACATTCATGTGGTCCCCCAATTTGAAATGAGTGGATGAGAGATAGTGACATTCTCACATACTCAAAGTCAGCAAATTTGTGCTTGTACCATAGGCATACTCATTTTTCTCATAATATATATATTTATATATATATATATATATATATATATATATATATATATATATATATATATATATATATATATATTATATATATATATATATATATATATATATAGTATGTTTCTTTATAGCGCATCTATACATGTTATATATATGTACATATATATTGTGCGTGTATAGCAATATGGAGGAAATTGGTAACCTACAAATATCAATATATATATATATATATATATATATATATATATTATCATATTATATATGTATGTTTTCTTTATACATCTATAACATGTTATATATATGGTACATATATATGTGTGCGTGTATAGCAAATATGGAGGAAATTGGTAGACCTAAAGCCACAAGTTTTTGTGCTTGTAGTGAGGTGCTAATTCATCCATCCACTCATTGTAAATGGGGACAACCTCATTTACATGGGTTGGAGAGCGGGATGGGAATGAGACACTTCAGTACCAAGCACAAAATTTGTGGCTGATACCGAAGTTTTTACATTTTTCTGCAGTATGTGGTGATGTCGTGTGTATATATATATAGTATATATATAATATATATATATATATATATATATATATATATATATATATAATATATATATAATGTGAAAACTCCTAATCAAACTAAGTGGATAGAAATAGTTTATCGCACCAACTTTTTATATGGGCATGGATCCTTGGCCTAAGGGATCTTGCAATGATATGAAGAGACTTTTTATATTAATAAATGAGTGGCTAAAAAGTTTGGTGACAACTATTCGCCTATCCACTTAAGTTGATAAGGAGTCTTGCTCTCTATATAATATATATATATATATTATATATATATATATATATATATATATATAATATATATATATAATAACATATCAATTTTTTCTTTATATCTATATATGTTCTTTATATTATCTAACACACACACACACATATATATATATATATACACACACACATATACCTATACGTACATGCATGCATGCATACGTACGTACGTACGTACAATGAAACGTTTTAGGTAAAATCAAACCAAGAATAATGTTTAATCACAAAAGTTCAATTTTGATCGCATGCAATAATGCGATTGGTATTTTTCCAAATATTGAAGTAATGATTTTCATTTTTCGGAACCGATTGTTTTTGACTCGATAGTACCAAAGGAACTAATTTAGGGTATAAGACTGTAAGTAATAGGGAAATTGGATTTCCTTTGAATCACATGTGTCCGTGACTGTCCGTGGAGAATCCGTGTCTGACATGTGTCGGACACTGACACGACACCCAAAATGCCATGTCCGAGTAGCCTAGTTTTTAACATAAAGTAATCATTTTCGGATATAAAACTTAGTTTCATGCCCAAATGGAGTCGTGTATCTTATTAGAAGTCAAAAGGATTGACAATAATTATTGGATAGGAGTCTATGGGTAACGGTAAATATTTTTTTATTCACCTAAATTGGATATATAATTATATATCACACTATCTTTCGAAAAACATAATTGTTTGATTAAATCATGCATTTTCACATCTTAAACAAACTTATAATGCCTTATATATAACACATATATTAAGGTTAAAGTTAGTGTTATGTGATGTTCTTACTGTTATTAGAGTTATTACGAATTAGGATTACAGATAGTGACAATATTGTTATTAATCTTTCTTATTTGGTTATTAGGAATTAGGATTAAAGATAACGTTACTAGTGTTGTTATTGTATTAGGATTAAGGTAACTAGGATGAAGGTAGATGGCATTAAGGGTGGTGTGATTAGTGTTATTATAGTTTTTATGGTTACAGTTAAGTGTTATTTGGGTTATTGTGATTACGGTAACGAGACTTAAGCTTATTGTTAGTATTGCTAGTGTTAATATGGTTATTACGCTTAGAGTAACTGGCTTATGGTAATTAGGGTTATTAAGGTTATAGTAATAAGTATTAATTAATGATTTAGGGTAATAGTAAATAGGGTTAGGATTATTATGTTAATTAGCCTAATTTGATTAATTAGGACTAGGGTTATTAATTAAAGTTTAGATTAAAGGTTAATAAGGTTATAGTAATTAGGGTGAGGCTTATTAGGGTAATTAACTAATAAGGTTATAGTAATTAGGGTGAGGCTTATTAGGGTAATTAACCAGTTAGAGTAATTTAGGCTAGATTTTAATTAATTTTATATTTAGGGTTATTAAGGTTGTAGTAACTTGGGTTGTAACAATGAGGTTAGGTTTATTAGGGCAATTAGTCTAATTAGAGTAGTTATTAGGTTTGTTAATTAATGATTAAATTTAGGGTTATTAAGATTAAATCAATTAGATCTATAGTTTTTAGAGTTGGGCTTGTTAGGCTAGTTGGCCTAATTAGGGATAGGTTTATTAGTTAATGTTTTGATTTAGGGGTAATTAGGGATAGGGTTAGAGTTAAGGTCAGAATTGATTAGTAGATTTGTTAGATCTAAGTTTAGAGTAAAGATTAGAGTTTATGATTAGAGTTAAGTGCTCAAACGTTAACTAGATCTATTCATTAGCATTGATCAAAAGCTTAAAATTTCACAAAGAAAGATTACTTTTTAATGGATCTAATATTGAGGGGGTTGGGTGACCTCGTGTGGCTATGTGGGGTTGACGGTTGGTGTCTGTAGCGTGGGACCGTAGGCAGCGTGTGCGGATCTGGTGGACCTAGTGGCGTTCGCGTGGAGGAGTTGGGGGAGAGAAAGGAGGCAACAGCGGGACGGGGGAGGAGGATGAAGGCTGCAGGGATGTCACATGAGAGAGTGAGAGTGAGAGAGGAATTTAAGGTGAGGGAGGAGGATGAAGGCTGCGGGATTGTCACCAGAGAGTGAGAGCAAGGTTGCGGGGATGTCACCTGAGAGAGTGAGGTGAGGGAGGAGGATGAAGGCTGCGGGATTGTCACCAGAGAGTGAGAGCAAGGCTGCGGGGAGTGAGAGCAAGGCTGCGGGGATGTCACCTGAGAGAGAAAGAGGAATTTAAGGTGAGGGAGGAGAATGAAGGCTGCGGGATTGTCAAAGAGAGAGAGAGAGGATGAAGGCTGCGGGATTGTCACGAGAGAGAGAGGGGATTGTCGAGATCGAGATCGAGAGAGAGAGAGAGAGAGAGAGAGAGAGAGAGAGAGAGAGAGAGAGAGAATTTGGGGATGTCCTCAGGGATGTAGAGAGAGAGAGAGAGAGAGAGAGAGAGAGAGAGAGAGAGAGAGAGAGAGAGAGAGAGAGAATTTGGGGATGTCCTCAGAGTTTTTGGTAGTGAGTCTAGGATGTCGGCATCATAGATGCAACATCCTAAGCAGAACATTTTCGTCTAGGATGGTGGGTTTTTTGCTAGTGTTTTTATGAGAAAACATTTTTATTCTTTTATTCTTTTATTTTTTATTTTGAATTGGGTCTTAGATGCACCATTATTTTTCGCAAACAAACTTAACTAATTAGGTAGAGAAGAGACCAAAAATCAGAAGACCGAGTTGGGAGCCTTAAAGATCTAATTCAAAAGTGAAACTTATGTCATTGGTATTATTTTCAGAGTTGTATTTCAACTTCTCCTTAATTGTTCGAATGAATATGTATGTGCCTTGTTCACAGGGATTAAAAGATTTAAGATTATAAGTTGATGAACTGAAGGGGAGTCCCTCGCATTGACTGGATATACTGAGGCTGTCATAAAGATTCCATCTTAAGAAAGATACAACCTAATGGTTTTGCATGATATCTCCGAATCATCCCATACTAATCATGGAACAAGCAGACAAGCAGTGATCAGTTATGCTTTCCAGAGTACCAAGTTTACAAGTCGTACAGTCAATGCACAAGCTCAGGAAAATTGAATGGTGTAAACATTTGGTCAGAAAATGAAGAATATGCATCAACCATCATCACCTAGAGAAAATAGGCCTGGAACAACAAGAATATGCTAAGCTTGGTGGTTTTTGGAGTTCCTGACTGACTTATGAGAATGGAGTCGGTGTCTTATTTCACTCACTTCCTGTGTATTGTTTTTTTTTTTGGTGTGGCAGTTGCTATGCCCTTCCACCAAAGACTGCTTAAATATGCTTATGATGATAAACATTTATACCTGCCTTCTATGCTATATGTACTCCGAAAATGAAATTGGCTTGTATCATGTGTCACTCGTAGTTTTATACTCAAAAGCTGGTTCAGACATTAAATTTGTGTTGTGTCAGTAAAAAGCATATAGAGGAGTTGGGTTTGTTAGAACTAAGAGAAGGTAATTTGAAAATTCTCACTGATTGTTTGGTAACAAAGGCTCGAGTTATGTTGAAGATTGATGGCCGTGAGCATATGCAGTTATTATACATGCATAAAAAATGCTTCCCCAGCCGCATACTTAATGATTCAATTTCAGTCCTCCCCAAGCGTAAGGTTTGCACATCAATGGTTTCCATGGTCCTACATTTCACAGATCAGGTTTACTTATTGATGGCTTCTCCTGTCAATTGTTGTGTAACATCGAATGATTGTGATATCCACAAGCATTGGCTTGCTCAAATATTTGTCATTAATTAAATGTACCAATGCGCTGTTGCACATTAAATTTCTAGTCCAGGCAGAGGTGAAGGGTTGACTATACAGGTCTGTGTTAGCATGGAAACCCCAGAGTAGGGGTTTCCAAGAAATGCCACATTAGCCCTAGAAAATGAGTTTCCTTTTCTGTTGTTGGTTGGCAAGAGAAAAGAGGAAACCTTCATCCTAAAACTGATAAAAAATGTATGAAATGAGCCAAATCAACCGACCCTATATTGATGTGTTTGTTACAGACATCTTACGTATTTATTAGGCAAATCTTCATTCAAATCCAAGTCATTCCTATATGATGTTACGGCCTCCAGCAGCAAGTGTGGAGCGTAGGATATCACACTCCTATGCTATAAGATGTGTGATGCCATGGCAATGTCAAGAATTCTAAATTAGTCTTTTATCAAGAGCAGAAGATCCACATTGAAATTTTAAATTCCGAGCAAGATTCCTAAAAACCAAAAGTAGTTAAATTAGATTGATGTTGCACGTACCAAGTAGATTGATGCGGCATAAACATATACCAAAAAGTTGCAAGTGCACAACTAATCAAGTTATAGTATAAAAAATTATCGATCCCACGAGTAAGGTGTTTTGTAGGAGAAAATTAAAATCGGTTCTTATGTTGTGTGCATGACAATTAGGAGTGATGAGTGAATATGATTATGGAGAGATAGAGAGAGTGAAAGTGATAGTGTGTAAATCGGCACAAAATGTAAGTGAGAGTGGATGCGACAAAGAATGAATGATTTTCACAAGGAAAGATGAATAAAATCAAGAATCAAAAAGGAGAATTAAGAATAAAAAAAAAATTCAAGAAATTAAAGATGGTAGATTCAATTAAAAATATGGGTAATCTAGAATTGAATCCATTTCTTAGAAAATGGTGATTCTCTAGAGGGTTCTAGTGTAAAGGCGAATCAAAAAAATAAAAATGAATAAAAAAAAACTAAACCCGAGAGGGTTCTAGCCTCAAGATGAATAGTGCAAGAAAATAAAATGGTAATTCCCTAGAGTGTTCTAGCCTCAAGGCGAATCAAAGAAAATAAAAAATAAACAAAAATAAAAAGTAATCCCAATAGGGTTCTAGCCTCAAGGCGAATAGTGCAAGAAAATAAAATCTAAACTACAAAATAAATTGCAAAAACTAAGCTACAAAATAAATTGCGAATAGTGCAAGAAAATAAAATCTAAACTACAAAATAAATTGCAAAAACTAAGCTACAAAATAAATTACAAGAATTAAATACGAGAAAATAAAGACATGAAATAAATCTAATCTATAAGCATGAAACAAATTTAAGACAAGAGGGTTCTAGCCTCTTGGCTATTTAAACAATAAAATCTAACTACAAGCATAAAAATAAATCTAAACTAATAAGCAATAAAAGAGAAAATAAGAAAAACAAACCTTCAAATTAATCTCCATCTTCATCTTCATCATCCAACAAAGAGAAGAAAAGAAGAAAAACAAACCTTCAAATTAATCTCCATCTTCATCTTCATCATCCAACAAAGAGAAGAAAAGAAAAAGTTAAAGTGCTGAACTTTTTTTTATTAATTATAACAAAAAGTTACAAGTTTGGAAGGTCTTCTCAATTAAGAGTAACCATCCTCTCCAAATAGAGATACAAATTTTTTTACACCCTCAACCCCTCACTCTCTACCCCTATTTATAGTAAACATCAACCAATATGAGCCCTTGGATTGAAATCTTATCCAAAACCATCAAAAATCAGCCCTTAATTCATAACAGAACTGTCAGTATCGATGCCAGCATTGATGCCCGCATCGATGCCCACATCGATACTAGCATCGATGTCCTATCAAATTTCTACCTTCATGGATGATTTCGTCTCGTCGAGATAGGCGATTTTCATATATAATATGTTAAATTCCGCCTTCCGGGTTGAGAGATATCGTCGTTTCTTTGCGGCTAACTATCTTGAATACATTTTTTTTTCATATTTGATTTTTTTATTTTCTCCGGCTTCTACAGGCTATTCGGCTTGATTCTGGGCTTGAGCTTTTTAGCTATTTCTTGTGTTCTTCATTTAATTCATGAGTTTTTATTGAGAGAAGAGATCTTGGGCTTTATTCTTCATTAACCTGCAATTAAAGATAAAAATAATTATTAATGACATATTTATTCATATAAAATAGATAATAAGGGTATAAAATTATAATAAAATATGATTATCAAATACCCCCACACCTAAACTTTTGCTAGTTCTCTAGCAAAGAAAGAAAAAAGAAAGAAAACCTAACTCACTTTTGCAGGAATCGCGGTTGTATTTAGCGCATACAACAAGCCTTTAAACCCCTAGGTTATCCTAGTGGACGAGTTGTAGTCTCGTGAGAGTTTGCAGTGAATATACTCACAAAATTCGGTCATCTTGCCAAATTAAAGAAGTTAGTAAATAACTAAATTTACTTGATAATTGAAGCTAGTTATTACTCAAGAAAATATTTTTATATATAACTCTAAGGTAAATTTCCTAGAAAATCTTCTCATTATAGCAATACAAAACCAAGCCAAACTTAGAAATTTAATTTAAAAGTTTTGAAAAGAACATGCTAACTCATTATTTTAAATAATTTTTAAGTTACTTGATCTAAAATATTTTCCAAGACCATATATACAAATATAACTATATATATAAAACATTTATTAGTATTTTTATTTTTATTCTTTTTCTTTCTTTTTTTTAACTCTTTCTTCCTTGGTGATTTTTTTTCTACTTTACGAGCTTTCTAAGTGACCATTTAACGAGTTTTGGGCCAATGGATCCCAACCTAATTAGACTTAGGTCATTAAGTATGAAAATACTCATTGGGCTTAATTACTCGGTCAGCTTAGGATTTATAAGATAGAATCACATTGAATTCAAGAGTTTTTTTCTTTTTTTTGTGCCCATTTTTTGTACTTTTCTTTTGTAATTTTTTTATGTATATGTATATATATTATGAAAAATATGTAAATCAAGACACTTTAAAAAATTATTTTCAACTCTAAGCTAAGCATGCAAAAATTTCATTATTTTAAATAAAAGTCCAAGTTAAGGCTTAAGTAAAATATAGTACTTTGAAAATTAATTCTTTAGAAATTTATTTAGAGTTATCATAAAAGGTGAACTTAAGTAAATAACTAACTAGGGATTAGAAAATTTTAAATTTATTAAATAAATTAATTATTACTTAACTCTATCAATTTGGCAAGTGATAATATTTTTATAAATTTTTTTTAAGAAAGAAAAAGAAATAAAAAATGCAACTAAAAAGGTAAAATAAATAGGAAAAAATAGCTAATTCCTACCCCCACATCTAAATTTTGTATTGTCCTCAATGCACAAAGTAAAACAGATAAGAAGTGAAGCACTTACAATTGGTCGGCTGATAAAAATCTGTAATTATCTTTGGTCTTGTGGAGGATGAAATCATCAATATATGTATATATTTTTCTTTTCTTTTTTTTCAATTTTTTTTTCTTTCTTTTTTTCTATTTTTTTCTTTTTTTCTTTTTTTTCAAAACTGAACAAGAAACTTTAAAATGAGAGAAGATTTTATTATGCTGAAATAAATAAAATAAACAATGTAGAATAAAATATTCAACATGAAGAGCTTGTGTTCTACATTGAATCCTACCTTATTGCTGAAAATTCTTTCCTGGATTTTAAACAAATTCAAAATGATATAATCAACACTGTGCTAAAATTCTAAGTATATCAGGGTGTTCAATAATTCTTGTGGTAATGGAAGGTAGGTATTATTGGTGTCATGCGATTTGAACTTAGATTCTTGATTTATGAATGTTTGTTTTCTAACAACCAATTTTTCTTTAACACTTTCCTCAACCCCAAGATTCAGGGCTGAGGTGTAAAATTTTGATTGTTGTTTATTTTCCAAAAAACTTAGTTCATCAAGAAAGAGTTTTTCAAAATTCAGTTCAAAGCAGCAATTGTTTAACACGGTTTCTTTATTTTGACAAACCTGATCTGCTTCTCCTAATATTTTCAGCTCCACACCAAAAAAATTTTCAAAACTTAGATCTGACTCTTCTTCTTCTTCCTCTGGTCTTTCCTAAATTGAGTTATCAGAAGGAGAATGAATTGGAACAAGAATTTGGCTTAAAGGTGTTCTTTCCTGATTATCGATCTGTTTTCCTGACTGTAGTGCATTCATTTGAGTGTCCTTACGATTGACCATGGGTTGACTCAGAATTTCTCCTTCCTCTCCTTCACTTATGGCACTATCTAGTTGATCAATGTGGGTTTCTAATCTAGCTATGTCTTGAGTGTTAGAATTAAGTATGAGTTCGGTTGATTGCATAAAGGAGTTCATCGTATAGGATGTTTGAGTTAACATATCTGCGGCTAGTGTGGAGGCCTTAATTATGATTTCAAAACCTTTTTCTAAAATATTGAGACGTTCATCATGACCTGTATCAAGAGGAGTGTGAGTTACAACTTGATGATGAGGGGACTGATTTTGATGTGACAGATTGGGTTGTTGAAATTATGGATGAGAATTGAAAGGAACTGTGTTTCCCCTAGGAAAATGTTGGGTCGAAGAGGGAGTGAAGTTTTGAGTTCTCGAGTGGTTTTCCTGATTCCATGCAATGTTT